CATTCGATGAAATTTTTTCGAATAACCCAAGTATAGTACCAAGGCTTCGGTATTGGTGTCTTCCCTTCCCAGGCAAAAATTCTACTCCCTTTGAGCTCTCAAAATAACAACAGTCGAAAAGATATTGTACCCATTTGAGCTCGATATGGCCCGCTGTAATGATATCTACCTTCTAACGTTTTCTTTTCTACTGCTCACCATTTTATTTTAGTGGATTCGCCTCGCAATTAGCGGCAGATTAGATCGAGCCAGAAATAAGTCTCAAAATCAAGAAAAAATTTCACATTGGAAACAACATGCACTGACTCCTAGCTTTATCATTTTCTTTACAATCTTTTGTTTTTACGATACTCAAAGGAGCTATCATCATAAATTCATCATCGAGCACAGAAGAGAAGTATAACATTTTGTTCGCAAGTGCAAAACTTGTTTAGACCTTCACATCTAGTACTCGTGAGGTGATTGGGATGTAGGTGGATTGGGTGGCTGCGAAAATGTTGGTGCTTGAGGTGCAGGATGTGGCTGAGTCCCGGGATTGTATTGTTGTGAACTGTACACAAACTGTTGCGCAGGTTGAGCAGTATTCTGGTAGACGACAGTGGCTGGATAAGCACCAGTGGTGGTGTAAATGGGCTGAGGCGCAGACGCTACGATCACCGTTTGCGGATGGACGTGGTGCGCGTGGTGCATCTCATGGCCGGACCTAAAATAAGGATCATCTTGTTGGACTAAGCCAGACAATTTATTGTCAAATTTGCTTAGTTTATGCACTTAGAGGCGCAATGAAATGCTGATTGAGCGACTCAGGAGAAAACCGCTCCGGAAGGGACGTATTTGGAGGTGGTCACTCCACCAGGTGGGCGCCCCGCCACTTTGCATTCTTTCCCTTGCTCGCGCTTGTTGCAGCGGGTTTCGCAAAACGGGATTTTTGTGGGTTCGCGGGTTCTCAATTTCAGATTCGAAATCAGGGCTTTGAGCAAGGAGATTGACAAAAGCATAGAAGTCGAGAATGTAGGTGGTTGGTACCTTTAAATATTAAATTGGCTAATAAATAGTATTCGTCTTGACCTGAAATTTTGAAGCTCTATAACAATTCAGTAACAATTCTATAACTGTTACTTAGCTATGAACCACGA